TTTTTTTTTTTTGTTTTTTTTTTTCGTTTCTTTGCTTCTTGGGGCGTAAGATGAAGGCACTTAGTTTCTCTCTCTCGTATCTCTCGCGTTCTCGACAATCGGGGCACGCGGTTCGTCGACCAGAAAGAGAGAAAAGAGAGAGAGAGAGAGAGAGAGAGAGAAAGAGAGAGGATTATTATTAATCATTAAATTAGCATATCAAGCACAACGTCATCATGCATGTTGTCTTCTTACATGCATACACACACTCACATACTAAACTTCTCTCTTTCTCTCTCTCTCTCTCTCTATCTCTTTCTCTTTCTCTGTTAATCGTTCCTTTTCATATTCTTACACGTTATTCTTAAACGATAATTATTTACAAGTATTATTTTATCTGTTCGACTTATTTCATAAATTCATAAAACCCCACCCTTCTTCCTTGGCATCTATTTAACATAAGAACAAAGTTTAACACATAATGTTTAAGAGACACAGGGTATAACCTGTCGATACTAACGAAAATTATGAGTGTATCTCAAGTGTCAAAGGTCAATAAATTATTTAGTAATAATCTGAAGGTTTTTGTAAGCTAAAGATACTAATAATAATAGTAATAGTAGTAGTAGTAGTAGGGTGTATGTGTGTGTTTGTTTTATGGTAATATATATATATCTATATATATATAATAATAATAATAATGGTAATAGGTTTTAACACGTTGAGTACCACGCCGAATTTTTTTAAGGAAAATTCTTGTCAGGCCACAGACCTTACTTTGTCTTGAAAAAATAATTGAGTGTCAGTCACCAATGACTGACGTGGCGTTCAACGTGTTAAAGGGGTGGTAAGAGTAACGGGGGCTGGGGGGTGGGGGTAATAAATTCGCGATAAATAAATATTCATATGGCGAGAGATTGAGGGGTGTTAAAGATGAATGAAAATATGATTGGCAGGAAAATTAGTATGAATGTATATGTTTTTTTTTTGTTTTTTTTTTTTAAAGGTAATGTTTAAAGTAAAGCTGTGGTGATTGGTGAAATTAGAGACAATTCTTCGAACCGTATAGAGGCTTTTTTTTTTGTACTCTGATCAGCGTGCACCGAGGAAAGATTTTCTTCTTTCTTCATCTTCATCTTCATCTGCATTTGCATTTGCATTTGCATTTGCATTTGCATCTTCTTTTTCATCTTCTTTTTTGTGTTGTGTTTTTTTTTTGTTTTTGTTCTTTCCTGATTCGGCACACGCTCGGCGAGGAGCACGAAAGTTCATATCCTCTGATAAAAGTGATAGGAACAACAACCGTGATCGTCTCGAGGCACTTCTTCTTCTTCCTCTTAGTTTCTTTTTTTTTTCTTCTTTTTTTTTTTCATATTTATTCATATGTGTTTTTCTCTTCTTCATGTTTTATCATCGTGTTCATCTTTTTTCTTTTTTTTTTACACAGCACCAACATTACGGAGTGGTCCGTTTTGTTCATTGGCAACGTTGAAATCGATGACATCAAAGTTTCTTCGTATGTAACAAACCTTGTAAGGATCAGGCGTTAATGTAACACCATTATTCGAACGTAAACTTGGTAACGATTCACCTTCCGGTAACCTGAAGTCGTACATGTGTAAAAGTGACGTGAAAAATAAAAATATCTCATAATTGGCCAATTTTTCTCCAAGACATACACGTTGACCAATACCAAATGGCATAAAGTGTTTAGGTTTTTGAGGTTTTCCTTCGGAATCGAGGAAACGCGATGGACGAAATTCTTCTGGTTGATCCCATAATTTTGGATCCATGTGTACGGCATAAATGTTGGGTACCACTTGAGAACCAGCAGGAATCAAATAATCGTTCACTATTACGTCCCTGTGAACAAAACCAAACAAACAAAACAAACGTTAGTGTGCTTTGATTTTTTTTTATTTAACCACCAATAAAATTTCGTCATTTTGTCAACCCCCCATTAAATTAATGTTTCATTTTTGCTATTGTTGTTGTTGTTAAATTCTTCATTTGAAACTTTTTGTTCGATAACACCATGAAAGAAATGGGTGTCGTCGACCTCGAAGCAACCAAGCAAGYAAGAAACTTTGAGTAAAGGTGGGCCCGACCGAAAAGCAGACACACTGGGGGAAGGGGGTGGGGCCCAGGCCACGCACCTTTTGCTTTCACTTTTGCTTGCCGAATAATCGGCAATCGCAAGCGAACGAGATTCCGACATTATAACAGATACACACAGACACATGCACACAGCTTATTCTTTGAAAAGGAAGACGCGGGGGTTCGTCCCGTTGCGAAATACGATTCGAATTCCCGCCAATCGGACCGAACTAGATTGACTGGTTTTTTTTTTTTTTGGTATGTGTATGTATGTGTATCAATCGATTTATTATACAAAAAAAACTTACCTTGTGGTAGCATGAGTTGTTCCCAATGGGACANTGAAAAGGAAGACGCGGGGGTTCGTCCCGTTGCGAAATACGATTCGAATTCCCGCCAATCGGACCGAACTAGATTGACTGGTTTTTTTTTTTGTATCAATCGATTTATTATACAAAAAAAACTTACCTTGTGGTAGCATGAGTTGTTCCCAATGGGACAATGCTAGATTTTCGTAGAATTTCCCATATTGTTGCTTGAGTAATTGGCAAATATTCTTGATCGTCCAAACTTGGCATTCTAAATCTGCCAACGACCACGTCCAATTCTTCGCGAACCGCTTTAGCAGCTTCAGGATAATGCAACATGAAAATGATTGCCCATTCCAACGTAGTCTTCACCGTTTCCATGCCGGCAGAAAACAAATCACCGAGTATCTGTTGCATTTGACGATCTATCGAACAACAACAACAACAACAACAATACAAATATTTATTTGTGAAATCTATGTTAAATGTTTTTCATTGTTTAAATATAAATATATAAACTTACTGTGATCTCTTCCTTGAAACAATTCACCTTCACGTCCTTCCATCTTAGCATTGTGAATTTCCAACAGGTATGAATCAATCAGATCGCGAGTTATGGTAGGATCGAATGTCCTTCGATGTTCCTCGATGGTTTCTTGAAAGAACAGACCCATCTCGTCGATATTCTTCATGATTTTATTGCGAGCTTCTCTCAAATGTGGCAGATAACGCATCACTGGGAAATAGTTGACGTTTATAATTGTACCAAAAAGTTTAAATCCTTCACCAATTAGGTGCATGAATCTTTTGAATCTTCTTTCACCAGGTTCAAAACGTACGCTCATTATGAAAGAACAAATCACGTTGCTTATTGATATCGCAAGCAAATGGGATGGGTTTGTTGGTTCACCTCTTGTTGTTAACAAAGTTTCGATCAAAACTTTAACTTCTCGCTAGAATCACACAAAACAAAAACAATTAAACATATTGTTTGTGAATGTGTGTGTGTGTGTGTGTGTGTGGTTCATTTTGTTGATAAAATAAAAAACTTACCTTAATTCTAGTTTCCATGGCTTTCTTTCCATGAGAAGCGGTTTTACCAAAACTACGAAATATGGTCAATAAAAATTTTCTCTGTTCTTTCCATAAATGACCATCGACATTGATGATACCTGTGATGATAATGGAAAACAAAATAAATAACATTGTAATTATTTGAATGAACAACAACAACAACACAACTAACGTATGCGATACACGCGGATACTCGTTTTTTCTTTTTTCTTTTTTTTTTTTTTTCTTTTCAGTGTATGTGATCAGTGTCGATCTATCTATCTGTTCGAGGTATCGCTCGGACGATCGATTACAACATCGCGCATAGTACGAGTTAGCATTGACCGAGAAGTTACTTCGCACGAGAGTGGTTTAGAAATGATGCGCTAAAATAAACTCTGATTGATTCGTTCGATAAATTTGTTAATTTTCAAAACGATGTATATAAGCAATAAAAAAAAAGAAAATCAAACAAACGAGTATCAGAAAATTAAATGAAACAAATGTTTGACATAAACTTACCATAAGTACCAAGAATACTGCTGAATTCGGTATGAGGTCTGCCGGTGAATTCCCTTTGAAGGAACATATCACGTATGACTTGAAAATCGCTGATTACAACGACCAGTTGTTTACCCAAATACGAACTGAAGATATTTCCGTATTTTTTAGCCAATTCGATGTACTGCAAATAGGTGTCTTCCTTGAGGAACAATAGATAACCGAAGAATGGTAAACCCCATGGGCCAGGTGGTAAACGTAACATTATCTTAACCCACTGAATAATCTTCACAAGCATTAATACACCAAAAAACACGACAGAAGTGCATAATAGTTCGTTAAGGTTGCTACCCATCCATTTGGATAGCAATATTGTCAAATGTGCCACCAACATATTTGACAATTATTTATAATAGTTCAAATGAAAAATACAGTGTTAACAAAAACGTGAACAATTGTTCGATTACAATTGATTTTCTATTTAAAATCTTGTTGTTAACATCTAAACGTGTTGTCCATGTCTCTCGTATCCACAAAAACGTAAACCCAATGACAAAAATATTCACGCAAATCTCGCGTAATGTAAATGGTGGTGGTTAGGTATCCCCCCACACACACTTTCTTCTCTTATTTATTCACGATAGATTAAAATCAAAAAAGAAATATTCAAAGAAAACATCAAATTGAATCAATCAATTAGTTGTGTTTTCTAATAAAGTAGTCGCGTTTTAAAACAGGCGACAGTTCAATGATGAATCCTCCCAAAAGGTGGGAGTCCGCGTGTGCCCTACGTGCGCACTGAAGGACTATCAAGCAAAGAATGAATGCGCTACTACTATAGTTTCTCTCTGTCGACTAAAGTCTCTTCTGTTTGGCGACTTGTTGAGCACTCATACGTTCGTTGGTTCGCGTTAAACGATCAGGAGTGCGTCAAACGAAAAGCGAGGATATATGAAGACTTGGTTAAGGGGTATTCAGAAGGGGTTGGGTGGGGGTGAGTGGGTGGAGGGAGAAAGAAAGAAAGAAAGACCGATAGATAGGAGGACTGAACGAACGAATGGGCAAAATAGAATGAGACGGAGATAGGAATAGGTGATATTGGGTAAAGTGGTGGAAAGAATTAAAAAATCTGAGAGTAGGGGAAAAAGAAAGAGATAGGAAGAGGGAGGAGAAGAAGAAGAAGAAGAAGAAGAGATAGAGGAGAAAGAAAAAGGAGAAAGAGAGAGAGAGAGAGAGAGAGGAGAGAGAGATAGAAAAAAAAGTCGGTCACAGCCGCAGCCGAATTCGCCGGCGCTCGTCACGTCGGGAGTCGTGCGAGCCACGGGAGGATTGAGTGTGTACTAACATACACCTTCTTGTCCTTGCCTGTCTTATATAGTGACTCATCAGGCAGCGGCCCCACGGCGGCCCCTCTGTGAGGCACGGTGGGGGCGCCCCGTAGATCAGCGGCCGCGGCAACAGCAGCAGCAGCAACAGCAGCAGCAGCAACAGGAGTACCACAAGAACGTCACACAACAGCATATCGCGACATACTATTGCTACTTTGTGCTACAATACGAGATATAACGTTGCACAAAAGTGCATTGATCACTGTTAAGTATAACACGTTGAAGAACATCATCAACAATCATCAAACAGCCTCACCACCACTTTAAGAAGATCATTCAGGTGAATAAAATCGTGCGGAGGTGGTTGAGAAAGGGAAGCAAAGCAAAGCAAAGCAAAGCAAAGCAAAGCAAAGGGAAGGGAAGGGAAGATTGAAGAGAGGGGAATAGGCTCAGATCTTCAGAGGCCCATGATTCCCCACGAGGGTGGTTGCTTGGTTGGTGGGTTGTACACGAACGAGGGTGCGAAGGCGGACCAAACCCTCGGAGCCCCTCCCCCGTTCCCCTTTCAAATCGTAGAGTGGTGGACCCCGCTAAGAGTCCGGTGAGAGTCCCATTCTCAATGGTGGGGATAAACGTGCCTCCACACTGCATCGAGCAATCGCTTCGGTCACTCAGACGGCCCGATACGGCGCTAGCGAGAGCTTCGTAGTGCGATCAAAGACTACTCTTATTCTTTACTGACATTTCTATCACGTCAAAACTGCATCAGAATATTTTTGTCATTAACGAGAGCGATAGAGAAAGAGAGAGAGAGAGAGAGAGAGAGACGTTTCATTCTTCCGCTTTTTTTATTAATTTCATTTAAAACTCATTACAATTGTATTTTAATTATTATTATTATTATTTATTTGATTAAATAACCATTGGTGTGAATTTTGTATCTTTGCGAATGAAAGTGTGCGAAACATATCATTATGCATTATATTTTATTAATTGGTTTATCGTCTTTTTCATTTGACAAATCCATTTGTTTCTGTATTGTGCATTATTGTTTCTTTTTATTTATTTATATTGTTTTTATTTTTCCCTGTAATCCCATGTTTTGTGTCAATTTGTTTGCGCGTATTGTACTTTAATAAATTAAATCATAATGTTTCGATAATTAAAACGAAATCAAATCACACGAATTCGTAATGAAACTTGTGCGATAAGATTGTCAAGTGTTGATAATAATTATCTCGTATTATATTAATGAACGAACTATCACGAATCGTTTAATGACACGATCGAAGATATCTTCTTCTTCTTCTTCTTCTTCTTTTTTATTTTTTTATTTTTTTATTTTAAACGTGAAATAAAGATAAAACATTTTATATGAGAATAAGTTAGTTAAACATTTTTCTTTAAGATGATTAAACACGAAGAGAGTATGAGAAATATCATCAACATGTCTCTGACCCGATTTGTGTATAATTTATTCGTCCGGTACACGGTGCAACCTGTCTAAATATGGGGGAAACCACATTCGGACAAATGATACACCTTTGCCAACATGTTCCGTGCCAAAATGTTCGTCCGTCCATCCTCACCCATAACTGGTCAAAACTTTGATCGTTCTCTTTCCGTTCCCTAACCTGTTTTTTTATCATCTAAGGGTGAGTCATTTGATTGGTTGGTGAAAATACTAAGTCAATTTAAATTTAAATAAATGTATGTTTTAATTATTTCATTTATTGCAACGATATTTAAACAATTGTCAACACTTTAACACGTTGAGCGTCACGTCAGTCATAGGTGACTGACACTCAACTATTTTTTTTTTTTTTTAATACAAAGTAAGCCCTGTGGCCTGACAAGAATTTCTGTAAGAATTCGCGTGACAAACAACGTGTCAATTTATTGTAGAAAAATAAACAAGACGTTTTTATTAATTTATTAAATATTATTTATTAAATAATTAATTAAAATTAATTTATAAATTATGATTTATTAAATATTTGATAAGATGAAACAAATATTGAATCGAACGAATGTTTTGGTTCATTAAATGCCAATTGATAATAACCGATAATTATCGCAACATTTGCTATACTTATCATCCTAATCTTTCGTTGTTTTAATTGGTTTACACCTAATCTTATTAAAAAAAGTAAAAAAAGAAAAAAAAAAAGAAGAAGAGGCAATGATTTTGATTGGACAAAGCATATCGTCATTATTTTTACAGTCGTCCGGACATTCGCATTTAACTTGGTTATGATCCTTGAAAAGATAATTGAAACGATGAAGAACCCTAAGATTTCATTTGGAGCAACGACACCTTCTTATCGGTGTTGTAACAGCGAACATCGAGTGAACGATTTGATGACCCCAAGGCCATTAGCTTCTTCTCTCTCTCTCTCTCTCTCTCTCTCTCTCTCTCTCTCTCTCCGACACATCTTTTTCATATTTTAATATTACACAGGAACCGATGATTAATAAAATATCTAATTATAATACTACAGATATGTTTCTTCTATTTCTTTTTTTACCTACACATTTGTGAATTTTTGTGTGTGTATGTGTGTGTGTGTGTATCATGTTAATATGAAAATAAAAAAAACTTTAACTTAGAAAGTTGATTTCTTTCAAGCTAGATTTCTATAGATAGATTTTTGTAATTTTATATTTTTTTTTCTATTTTCTATGATTTAGACAAACATAACACACACACACACACACACACACCTTGTACCATTCCAACAGGTAACAGATAAAAATTAATCGATTTCTAGGATATTTGATTTGTTGAAAATAATTTTGTTTCAATCTAACATTGAAATAGAATTTTTACAATTAAATCAAAATAAAATAAAAGATTTTCTAAGAAAGTTTTTCTAGTTTTTCTAGAAATAAACATTTATTTATTTTGTTTATTATTATTCAATATGAAAAACATTTTAACCAAATTTCTTTTTGTAATTAACCAAAATTTGGAATAATTATGATTATGATTGACTTAAAATGGTTCAAATAAGCAGGAGAAAAAAATGATTTTTACAAAAAAAAAATGTGAGCCACGTTTTTCGAGAGATTAAATTAATCGGTCGTTGATTCAGACAAGAAAAGAAAAAAAAAAAAAGAAAGACAAACATTGATCCGTTGAATTTATAAGAAATAAAAATGACTTGGTGGTCATCATTTGTTCATCGTATTGTTATTTCAATTAAAACATCGACATATTTCATTTGGTTATCTTTAAGAAAAAATATTCCCCACTGACTTAAATTAATTTTACATTTTTTTCCAAATGGTATACGTTTTATTTTCTTTTGTTTTATTTATAACAAAAAAAAAAACAACAAAAAACAAAAAGTAAAATAATTTCCTAATCAAGCACGTAAAACTGTTGTGTTAATTTTTTTTCTTTTTTCTTTTTATCAACATCAAACGTGAAATAAAATTCAACGATAACTTTGAACAATAAAGAAAGAAACGTGCAAGTTTTCGTAAACAATTATTTAAAAAAAAAAAAAAAAAAAACCGAGAATTTATTCGTACGCACATACATGCATAGATTTCGTATGCAAAAGTGAACATTTTGTTTAAAATGAAGAAGAAGAAGAAGAAAAGAAAGCAAAACGAGCGACAAAGTTCGCTGACGGGATTCTTTTTCGTTCAAAAAATGAAAGGAAATCTCGTGAAAGGGAGTGTCCCTCCCCCTTGCCTCACCCCGTAGGCTTAGTTTTACTTGCCAAGATGATATTCTAAAAAAGGTTTAATGAACTCTGATATTTTGCGTTCGTGCACATATTAAAAATGCGATAAGATCTCTTCTTCCTTTAGATCTTTTTCCTACTTTTTTTTCTTTTTTGTAATCTTTTAGTCGTTTTACTATATTACATATTATTTCTGTTTTTATTGGCAACTTTAACAAGTGGTAGGGATACTTGAGTTCTGTGAAAAATGTACCGAACAAGAACAAGTGCATCGAACAAGAACAAATGCATCTAACAAAAACAAATGCACTAAGTGATACTTGAGTTTTGTGAAAAATGCACCGAACAAGAACAAGTGCACCAAACAAGAACAAGTGCACCAAACAAGAACAAGTGCACCGAACAAGAACAAGTGCACCGAACAAAAACAAGTGCATGTAACAAAAACAAGTGCACTTAGTGATACTTGAGTTTTGTGAAAAATTCACCGAACAAAAACAAGTGCACCAAACAAGAACAAGTGCACCAAACAAGAACAAGTGCACCGAACAAGAACAAATGCACTTAAGGGTTAAATAATGAATGGTAGTATTGCAAAAGTTACATGCAGTTTTAAGAATTGAAGTTTGAAAATTGCATTGAGAATTGCATTGAGAATTGAAATTCGTTGAACAAACCTTTAAAGATTATAAATTATAAAAATTTGGTATCGTAGGCAAGTTGAACAGTTAACAAAAAAAAATCAGAAATAAATTAATAATAATAAAAATAATAAAGTAATAATAAATACCTGAAGAGGGATGCAATGAGAGTACAAAGAAATAATAAAGGAAGGAAATGATACGAGACGAAGGTGTGACTTAAAGAAAAAGAAAAWGAAAAGAATAAAAAAATACAAATAAGAAAAAAAATAAAAGAAGAAAGAAGAAAGAGAAAAGTAGTAGTAGAATAAGAATAAGAAGAAGAAGAAAGAAGAAAGAAGAAGAAGAAGGGGGAGGAAGAAACGCGGTCTACGCTCCGTCTGTGATCGCATGAAGGGTGAACGACCGTCCATGCGGAGGACGTGTGTTATACTCTCTTCCTTCCAATTGAGAGAGAAGAGTATGTGTCTTGTGTCTTCCTTCTTCTTCCAAGAACTTACTTAT